GAACCAAATTAGCTGGCTAGTAAATGTCTCTAAATGCTTATGCTACAGGTTCGAATCCTGCGTGTTCATCTTCAGTCATCACCCACTTGTTCGTTTCTTTGTTTGAGAAAACAAAAACAGATTGAGTGAAGAAATATGCATTCCTTTTCAATTAGTTCCTCGTCATCGGCTTTATATAGCTTTTTACATCGACATTTTTACAGATGAAGTGATTATTTTACTTAATCAGTTTTAGGTATAGGCGCGGTGGATGAAATTAAGAGGTTAAAAGTTATCATAACAATTGACTAATAGATGTTAGTAACAAGATATCTAGCTTTTTTTAATCACGAAACTCAAGATAAGTTGGTTTGTAAGGTTTGGCTACAAGTTATTACATATTTTGATGTGGTTGTGTTTTCTGAGCTGGACATTTAATTGGCGAAGCTTTCATCACTTCAAATTGAAGTATGCACTGAAGATGTCGCCTATTAAGGCGATGAAAGCTTCACAAATTAAATATCCAGCTCAGAGAACATAACCACATCAAAATCATCCACCTGAGCTACAAATCTTCGCCATCATATCTAAGTTATTACATAATCAAGAAATTTGTAAGATAGAAATGATGACTAAGAAGAATAAGGTAGCTCAGAAGAATTACGTAAAATACAGACAGGTTAGTAGAATTAACTAGAATTCTAGGAATTAACAAAGTCAGAAAATGGTTACAGGAGGAGGGGAAAATTGTTTTTAAAAACTTAATACTTATTATGTAGTCGGCCAAAGCAAATAAATGAACCGTACAGATTTTTTTTGAACACACAGATTTGGCTGGTTCAGGTGAATTCTGATTGCCTCTGCTGTTTTTAAAAGACGTACTCATAGACCATGAGAGAGATTTGCTGAAATATGATAAATAACTTTAAAAGCTTTGTTAGAGTCAACTCGATGTCCACTGTCGACGAGATATGCTACTACTGAGCTGCGTATAGCTCTACTCGGACCTTTGACAAACCAAGATGGGAGGTGTCCATAAATTCGACAGTGAACTTTCATGATCGTACGCCCTGTGTAACTAGCTCCACACGGGTAGTTAAACTGGTAAATACACATGGAAGAGACGACACAGGGCAGTCTGTCTTTATTTCTTGAATTAAGTATTGATCGGCTAGTGAATATACAGCATAGCTCAGCTGCGTTGTAGGTCCTTCTTAAGACTCTTCTCAGACGTTGTGATAAGATCTCCCGTGACTTATAGTCTCAGGAAGACTGATTTCTTGAGAACAATCGGCACCTTCGACGTTTCACTTTCTTAGTGCATGTTTTTGTTCAAAATTCTAGTTGGATATCCATGTCTACCTAGTAGATCATAAATATTACCAAGTTCTTCCTTCAGTGTGTCTCATTTGAACAGACAACTCTAGCCCGGTGAATCAGACATCTTTTGATTTGTATTTTTGCGTGTTTTAGTCTACTTATATGACCTTTCTATCTCTCTCTCCACACATTTAGCTTCTTCTTTCCGCTATCATGTTTGTCTATAAAACTTATCAATCGAATTCAAATAATAGCTGGCTTAAATGTATTCAGTTAAAACAAGTTCTCTACAAGGAATTTTGCCCTACTACCCAATTACAAGAAGATCAGTCTACACAGTCTTTACCATCACCATCCACTACACCATCAACACACATAGGATTTAAACATTTTGTATTCATTATACTTCCATACACAATTCCTGCTTTGCTTTATGCATTCAACAATAATTTAGCCCTACTTATCCAATTGGAAATGGATCCTGCAACATATCAGGTGAGTTAATTCACTTTTTATATAAAAACACAAAATAATTGAGCAAAGAATATCCTTTTCGATAATTTCCTCTTCTGGCTCTACAATTATATATATTGCATGGAGGATTTTATCATGAGCTGACATCAGTTAGAAAACCACTGGAAAACCTCGGAGTACTGGACAGCTGTTTCGTCAGCCTAGTATTGGACTCGTCATCAGTGCGCACCCACCACCAGGGTTCGAACCCAGGACCTTCTGGTTACAAGACTAGTGAGATCATAGACCATTAAGCCACTGGGACGCAATCCAATGACCAGCCCATGAATTCTAACTTCTGCCAATTTATGACATAGCGCGACCATTTCGCAACGTTTTCTTCGTTGAGCCTCATCTTCAACCTGCTGTACCCTACTGGTCACGGCTTCCTACTAGAACCCCAGGTTAACTGCCTGAATAGGACTAGTCACTGGTGAGCATCAGATTAATTTTCAAGTATTGGTTTTGTAGGGATTTTGTTTGATTGCATGGAGGATTTCATCATGAGCTGATATCAGTTAAAGAACAAAACAGATAAGGCAGTGACTCATCGAAGAAGATATCGCGAAATGGTCGCGCCATATCGTGAATTGGCAGAATTTGAATTCATGGGCCATTGGATCGGATCCAAGTGGCTCAATGGTCTACGAGCTCGCTAGTCTTGTAACCAGAAGGTCCTGGGTTCGAACCCTGGTGGTGGGTGCGCACTGATGACGAGTCCAAAACTAGGTTGACGAAACAGCTGTCCAGTACTCCGAGGTTTTCCAGGGGTTCTCTAACTGATGTCAGCTCATGATGAAACCCTCCATGCAATCGAACAAAATCCCTACAAAACCAATACTTGAAAATTATATATATGTTTATATACATAGAATATTCTAGAATAGTAGTCAATAACAATATCAATGTTTTTTTTAAATATTATCGATTTGTTAAGTAAGATAACAACGGAATTACAGTTCATTAAAGATGTTTAAGTTATAATAGTAATAATAAATATAATAGCACATAGAGTATCAACTAAAATTAGGGAAATTTCCACAAAAATTGAGGATTATTCGAACTTATATGGCCAAGGTAAGGACAGTATCTGAACTAGCTTCTTTTGGACGCATAAATTAGGCTTCTTTTTGTGGACCACAACGGCCTCAGCCATATTTAGTAAACGAACTCTTAAGGCGAAGCTAGGATTTGTTGGTATGCGGTAAGTGACTTTGAAAGTCGCCTTGTTTACATCGATCTTGTGTTCTGTATCCACAAGATGAGACAGAGCAGTGCTATGAATGGATTTTAATTGACCTTTACTTCACCAACGACGCAGGGTGATGTTTGGAAATTCTACGAGAAAAACACACCTAATAGTACGACCTATGCAACTAACTGGTTCACTCCAAAGGAGCAGTTAAATTGGTAGATACACATGGAAGAGGCGAAATTAGGCAGTTTGTCTTTTACTCCTAAACGGAAAAGAGGAGTGGTTTTGAAGACACAGCGTAATTGAGCAGCAGGGAATGCTCTTTTTACCGCATTTCTAAGGCGTTGTGTCAGTATCTCGCTGATGTTGTCCCCAAGGAACTGAATTCGTAAGAACGAGGCCTTTTTAGGAACTGTAGGTACCTTGGGGTGCTTTGATTTTAGATTCATATTCTTATCAATAAACTCTTCTGGATAACCGTTATCAGTCAGCGACCGTTTAATATTAATAAGTTCCTCATCAAGACATTTATCTGAGTACATTGCTCTTACTGTGTGAACCAAGCATTTTATCAGATTGCGTTTGTATTTCAAGGGCAATCTTTGTTGAATAATAAAATAAATATTATGAAGGAAAATATTTCTCTTCTCTGACATCATTACCAAGCGAGGCAGCCTGACTTTAGGATTCTCAGTCAATGAAACATGCCCTAGAAGTCAACGTGACCATATTTACTGTGAGAAGGTTGCGGTTGAGATGAATGAAATAGGAGAAGGATCATTTGAGAGACAATTTTAAATCTAGATGACAAACTGGAATGTATGTAGATTTTGTGAAGCAGGTCATTTCTAACCCATCCTTGACAGAGCAGAAAAGCAGTACATCTAGTTTGCTCACTGGTCATTCTCGGGAAAGAACCTTACTGCATTACATTGCTATCAGCAACAAGGTATAACTTCTCAGTCAGTGTACCCCAGGTACACAGGAGTGAAAATGACACTTTGTTGGATCTAGGAGAATACAAACAGTGAAGTGAGAGAATCACCAACAGTCTCAAGCGATTGATTCTAAGAATCCCGATGATCCCAACCAGGCAGTCTACACCTGCCTGTGGAGCTGGCTCAAATCACCAGTCAAAGACCAGTGTTGTCCACCAAGTAGTCAGGAATGAGGACAAATACTCGTCATGGATGACGTTGGCTGGTGCCAATCGGGCTGAAATCATGAATTGGCAGAAGTTAGAATTTATACAGTGACCATTGAGTCCGGGCCCACTAGTTGAATGGTTCATGAGTTTGACTTGTAATCAGAGGGTCCGGGGTACGTACTACCGATGAGTGCCAAACTAGAATGAAACAGCTGTCCAGTCCTTCCTGATTTTCCCAGTAGTTCTCTAAGTGATGTCACCTCGTCATCTAATCTGCAGCCAATCAGAATGATGAAAACGAACACTTGGTATGCTCAATAAGCAAATTAATAGGGAATTATAAATAACGCATGCCTTTATCAACAGCTGCCCACACCGCTGGCTCCATATTAAATGAAGATCATATTGACCGGCCGGTTGGCCAGAAAGAATCAGCAATAAGAAAATCTGACAACAAATCAACCAAGAGCCGATAGCTCAACAAATATGTATAAGAAAATGGAGCTGGATATGGCACACACTGAGGAGACCATCGAATGACATCTCGCGCAATACAGGCTACTGCTCAAGTGGAAGGTGAATGGGAAGCGACGAGCGGATCATCAGTGCGAGAGTGAAATGGAGGAGATCGCACGAGTTGCAGGAGGAGGAGGAGGAAATGATAAATTGTGGGCAGTCGTTGAGCCAGTCAGCTGAAGAGGACAACAGAAAGTAGAGCAAAGTGGAGGTGTATTGTTTAAGCCGCATGTTCCTCTCGGAACCGAAGGGAACAATAATAATAATAATGCCATTATCAATATCATTCATTTACTGTAAACCCGTTTAACTATTTTTGATTTTCTACAGATACTCTCTAATTTCAAAATCCTAAGTACAGCTATATTGTTCAGACTTATAATTAAACAGTAAGTCAATAAAGTAAGCATAAATTAATTTAATTTTCTCTATTTCTTTATTCGCCCTACTGAGTTTTAGTCAATGATTTTTGTATTTCGTTTTGTTTAATTATCTTTTAAAGTAATCACAGAAAAATGAAATATACACTAGTAGACATTTAGTCAATTTTTCTTCAATAAAAACTACAGAATACCTTCATTGACTGTCCGCTTATAAGCGGACTGTTCCGTCATTGTGGCGGTGAGGTTTGAAAATATCAATTTATCGGTTTTGCAATTAAAAATCTGTTAATATATGTCTATTGTTGTGTTTTTTTCTTTGGAATTGGTATTGGTGTTAGCATTGATTAAGGTTTATACTTTGATTGGACAGTAGTTCATTTTTTCATTCTTTTATGTTCCCAGTGGAACATAGGGGGCTTGAAGCTAGAAGCTTGTAGTTTCTGTTGCAGTGGTGTTTATTTTTACCGGATGGGCTGGCTAGCCAGGCTCATGCCCCACCTTCCCTCCTAACCAGTCTTATCACTGGTTTAGCAAGGTAAGGGAAGCAATCAGGAAACAGGCATAAAATAAACTCACACAAAAAACTTGGAGGATCCGGACTTCGCCGATGATATATGTCTGATTTCCCACAAACTGGAAGATATGCAAGCGAAAAGCAACAGGTTGGCAGAAGAAGCATCAAAGATAGGACTTCAGGTGAACATAGAGAAAACAGAGGTGATGAAGATTCCTGGACAAGAACATCAACAACAGACAACAATCAGCATAAATGGGAGGAACCTGAAAGAAACAACCTCCTTCACCCACCTAGCTGGGAAGCATCGTTTCAACTACAGGCGGACGGAACTGATGAGGATGTCAAAGCAGCGAGGATCGGGAAAGCAGAGCAAGCTTTCATTTCTCTCAATTCTCTGTGGAGGTCAACAGCACTCAGCATGAAAATAAGATCTGGATTTTCAACTCCAATCTGAAGTCACTGCCACTCACTATACGGATCAGAGACTTGCACTGCGCGTCATCGAGAGCATCTCAAACAAACTACAGACCTTCAGCAACAGCTGTCTTCGCTCAATACCACTCAAGATCAGATGGTCGGCCAGAAAATATCAGCAACAGGGATCTCTGGCAATGAGCGAACCAGCCAGAAACCGATTGTGCAACAAATAGGTAGGAAGAAATGGAGGTGGATTGGCCACACTCTTAGGAAACCATCAAGTGACATCACTAGACAAGCCATTACTCGAGTGGAACCCGGATGGGAAGCGGCGAGTTGGTCGTCAGTGCAAGGGTGACTTGGAGGAGGTCATGTGAAGAGGAGATGAAAAAGTGTGGGCAGACATGGAGCCAGGTGAAGATTCTAGCAGAGAACCGAACGCAATGGAGACGCACGGCTGAAGCCCTATGTTCCTCTAGGAATTAAAGGAAACAATAATGATAATAATGATAAGGTAGAGGAGTGCGTCGGTCAGGGATCGAACCGTGGACCACATGCGGCTTGGTCGGCGAGCATTATACCGTTGTGCCACGGACGCATGGACAGCAGTGAGTAACTAGTGTGTAATTTGTCTAGTCCTTTGTTTGGTGGAGGCTGAATTCTATCGGTCAGGTTTACAATAAGGCCATCCATTTTAGGTGGTTCTCCATCACAGTGGGATTTGAATTGTTGATATTAGATGGTTGGAGACAATCCGCAGGAAACCTTGGACCTAGGTTTTTTGCTAGTTGGCACTCAACAGCAAGGCGCAACTGCAACCTTGAGTCTCAGAAGGGACATGAGTCCCTTCAAATTTGCAGATTGGTTTTACTGACGAGTGCCAACTTACACGAAACGTAGGTCCAAGGCTTTCTGCCGATAACCTCCAATTATCTAGTGTTAAGGTGTATATTCAGAAAAGAAAGTAATTCGGTTTTTGGGTTTGTAGACAGACAGAACCCAGGTAACCATAAGCGACCTTGTATGGTCAAAGGTGGGCAGACTTTAGTCTGCTTCTCCAAATGCCCTCTTGTAGCTCCAAGTATATAACCTCTGCCAGGTAAGTTCTAGGCAACATCTTCACTCAGCGGACGTGTTCATCACAAAAGTGAAGAGGCAAATATGAACGTCTACGCACACAATCAGATTAGTGGACACTCTGGCCCATATATCCAGACAAGCTGGAAAACACTCGTTCCAAACCTAAGGTGTATATAGGCTCCAGAATCCCCAAAGATCGAATAGCATATATGAACCCGATTTAGCAACCATCACCTACGGGGATGTACCTCGTGACACTGTTCTACTGCCTTATGGATCAGACTCCAGTTCAAATGTTCGACAAGCACCTGCTTGGTTTCAATGTCCGAACAAACTAAGAAAATTTGTGTGGCCTACCTTTTGGTGCCTAAAGTGTACCGAGTTTGTTCTAATGGTAAGATAATTTGTAGCAATAATAGTGAGAAAGAGTTGACAAATGTCACACACAGACATAACACGGAACCATGAGGTCTTTCACAGTTGATTCCAACCATTTTAAGTAATGTAAGCACTGTAGTTTGTGAAAAAAGTCCATGTTTTACATACGTGTAGTTCACCACTAAAAGTAATTCAGAGTAGGATAAATGTTTTAACACTGTAGCTTCAGAATTGCAAACATCTATCACTCTGTAAGACTGGATCATGTCACAGACTGTGAAGAGCAAAAAGACAGGAATTCGATGAGTCAGTAACGAGATTCTGGGAGATTTGGACTCCGTGGATGATTTACGCCTAGTGTTATACAAATTCGTAGGTCTGCAGGCGAAAAACAACCATTTGGCTGAGGAAGCAGCCAAGATAAGAGACCAAATGAACTTGGAGAAGATAGAAATGGTGAAAACACCCAACCACAAGCAATGACAAGCACCAGTCACTGTCGACGGGGAAAATTTGAAGGAAGCCACCTGTTCGACATATGTAGGTAGGCGAAATCGTTTCAACTACATGCATTCGCTAGGATGAGGATATCAAGACAGGACAAGATTCAGGTATTCAACACACTAATGTCAAATCAGTGCTTCTTTACAGTCCAGAGACTCAGCATAGATGTCATGTGAAGCACTTCTAACAGACTTCAGAATCTAATCAACGGCTGCTTTCGATCTATAGAGAAAATCAGATGGTCAGACAGAAAAAATAAGCAACAAAGGACGACGAAAAGTAATAAACGCAGGACTTAGCGCTCAAAAGATTATCCCGAGGGAAATGGAGGTAAGTAGGATACACGCTAAGGAGACCGTTGAGTGGTATCACACACCAAGTTATAGCTCGAGTGGAACCTCAGTGAGAAACAATGGGTTGGGCGTCAATGGGCGATACAGAAGAGATGAAAGTCTATGAGTTATCGTTGAGCCAACTAAAAATGACTGCATGTGACAGGATGAAATGGTGATGTGCTTCTGAAGCCGCGCTATGTTCCAATAGGAACCGAAGAAAGGAGTAATATAACAACAGACGATCATTCTGTAAAGATAATCAGTTTAAGATCCAATGTCTGCATTTCGAAACTTTTGATTGTTAATTATGAGATATTGGCTTAATTTTCTACGTGTCATTTTTACAGGTCTGTTTGTATTTCTCCCAAACTACTTACTGATGAATGATCAAACTTTCAGCCTACTTGTGACCTACAAAATCCTATTGGTTGTTCACAGTCTTGATTTATCAATGACATTAGTGATTCTGAAGGTCATTTCACTCATATATACACTCAAGCGCTGCCGACCTTTTTTGACTTTTGCTCTGAGACAGTAAAAGCTCTCCTATCAAAATTTAGTCTTTACGGCCTGGTGTTGCCATTGTTGTTGTTATTGTTGTCATCGTGCGATTACGACAGATAAGCCAGCGCATTAAGTTAGTATTCGCTCATAGTCTGCTAGTTCGTAGGTCCGGTCATAACAAATTATTAGTATTTTGGATTCATGTTTAAAGGCTTTAAAATTGTCATCTGTTTCTGGGTTAGATAAGTGAGTTTCTGATGACACCTAACAATCATAAATGTTAGCTTTATACTTATTGTAAGTATTCTGCAGCTAGCTGCATTCTGTAATTACTTCATATGAGCGTTTTATTTCACTACAATGGTACATACTACTGGGTGATGGTAAGTAGTTCGCGGTAATCGGCAGGAAATCCTGAATTTAATTTATTTGCTTATTAACACTCATCAGCAAAGTGCATCTGTAATCCATAAGGAAGTGATGTCCCCTCTGGGATTCGAACCTGTGTCACCCATTGCTAAAGGTACAGACATTACCAATCAGTCACTCGAGTTGATGACTGACCTCCTCTAAGACTGTAATATAGACACAGTGATTGATCAGCAGCGAGTATGGTTATTATTTTTATATTGTATTACTGCTGTCTTAGGTTCCGATTAAAGCTTAAGTCTTCAATAACACACTTTGCTGTACTTTTTGCTGTCCTCTTCAGCTGACTGGCCCCACGATTTCCGAAAATCTCTCATCTCCTCCACATCCTCACACGATCTCTTCCATTTCACCCTCATACTGACAACCCACTCGTCGTTTCGCATTCACCTTCCACTCAAGTGACGACCTGGATTGCGTGCTATGTTGTTCGACGATCTCCTCAGTCTGTGCCCAACCCACCCCTACTTTATACATATTTGCTTAATGATAGATTATTGATTGGATTGCTCCCATAATTTCTTGTTGTTGCTTATTCTTTCTCGCCAGCCGTTCGATGTTCAGCATGGAGCCAACGAAGTGGAGAGCTGTTGATAAAAGTCTGCAGCTGGCTATTGGAAATGATTTTCGTGAGGCTCACACTGAGTTTACGACAGCCATAGAAGAGCTGACTGACTTGACATTGGTGTTGAAAATCCAAATCTTGTTCTTTCTTCTCAGTGTAGAAAAATTCCAAACCGGTTTCTGTGTGATGAATATTTGGCTTCCCTCTCCGATTCTGGCCTGCTTTGACATCTCCATCCGTGCCATCGCCTGTAGTTTAAACAATGCTTCTTAGATAA